ATTGCAATCTACAGGTGTCAATTGTAGAAACACGCGAAGCCACAACCAGAGAAAAGTATGGAATCCGTCTGACTGATTGTGAGACATCTTTGACTGTGCTGTTTTTTATTGCTGCGGACCTGTCTTTCACGTGCGAAGAGTTAAACCAACAAAGAGCCTCTCATGCAGCGGAGGCAGTCGCTTGATCTGCAATTCGACTGCGGGGTGTTGCCACGGTTCAAACATTTGGTAGCGTCCGGTATCCATAGCCTCCAGAATCCCTGGATATCCCTCATCGGACATTGTTTCAACTCCGTGCAGGTATCTATCTAATTTCTGATGCATTCTGCAATCCAAATTGGTTGCAGTAGACTGGCAATCTGCGGGGCAGCCCCTGACGGCAACAGAACTTTAAAATCTGTCTGGTCAAGTGGAATCAAAATGCTGCTAAACAAACCACGACGTATACCCATAAAAATAACACTAAATATACTAGTATAATAATTGGGTTGATGGTTTCAACTTTCAACCCACAGAAAAATACGCTAGTCATCATTGGGAACATGAAAACTCATCGAAACCACCAGCCAGGTCAGCAGCAGAACTTCAGCTCATGGACGAGGTGGGACACAAAGAAGCGCCCGCGTATGCCAATCGAACGATAGGAACATATATCCATTACACATGATGATACATACCCTCTGGTAAACTAACATATATATATAACATTATATAACTATGGAAAATCACAATCTTTAATAGGTAAATCAAGTATAAATATGTATAAATGGGTAATTTTCAATAGCCATGTTAAATTACCACAGGGTACCTCAGGGAAGCATGGCCATGAATTCGTCCTGGCGAATCGGCCTTCGCGAATGGCGACGTTGTCTCAAGGAGATCCTCGCGGACCAGAATTCAGGCTGTCAGGATCCGGGTCATGGTCAGAAGCCTTCTGAAAAGTGAATTAACTGAGTCAATTTGGGATTCTCATCTCAAATAAGATGGCAAACATGATTGAAACTGCAAACCCGCCAATGTTGAATATTCATCTTCATGGTCTAGGTGCGCTCGCAGTTCAAGGGGAGGAAAACTGAAGTGAACTATGACACTGTATACATTGGTGGGCGCCGGCTGCGACCCCATCTTGAAAACAATGACACACTTCCGAATGATAAGGCCCTTTTGGTTGGGTTTGTTAAGGATGGCTTAATCATGGCCAATTCTGGTAGTCAGCCAAAAAATGCTGGTTATGGCTATTTTCCATTCATAGCAAAAAACTAAAGGATTGAACTGCCCATCCAAGGTTGGGGATGTTTTCTTAGCCTGAATTTTGAGGGCAATCACCGTCACCTTTCAGAGGAATTAGCTCAAACTTGCACCACGGGCCACGTGCCAAGCGCATAAATGAAAATGGATGAATACAGAATATCGGATAATCAAAGTGTAGTATACTCCTTCTGGCTGCTGTATAGAGCTGTCTTCATCTACGTACATGGATGTTTTTCTTTCATGATGCGGAGCCACTGGTTGACAGTGACAGATTGTGTGGCAAATGGCTTCAAGAACGGTCCCAGCTCAAGCTGTTGCCATACCCGGAGGATCATCTCATTTTGCATGCGGCTTATGATGCTTCCGCATCATAAGCCCCTTCAGTGGACTCCATCTGTAAATGGATAGTCCAATGGGGCATCCCAGAAACAACCAGAGCGAATCAAATGAGATAATCATGATGATCCAAGTAAATTCCAGCCCGAGATCAAGTGAATCAAGCCGCAAATGGTCCACTTTTCTTCAGACTCTGAGTCTATCACCACCGCTGTGTTGAGATTCCGCTTCGGCGAGGCTGTCACCGTCACCTGTGGAGCCACAGAGGAGCTGTATTTTGTTTCATGTCGTGTCATGTCCTGTCATTGTTTATTGCACATACGAAGGCAAATGAACATAACTAAATACGTGCGTATGCATGTATGTACATATTTATACATATTTATACAGTATTCTTACATAATTAGTTATCAACGCCCTGAGTGGACCAATCTGTAGCAATTCTTTTACACTTCGGAGCCAGGACCACTGACTCTTCCAAAGTATGGGTTGTGTCTGCTGTGAGGCTGGCTGTAAGATTATCCGATGGTCAAAATGACCTGTTTTTTTTGTTTTGCATTTATATGCATGTCATAAAGTCTCATCATGTTTCATCCATTCCGTGTATGGTTTGAATAAGCCACACGAATCCAGGACAAAAAAAAACGTATCTGGCAAGCCCGGAATAGGCTCATGTCCGGCTTCACAAACACGATCGCTTATGGGCGGGTTGCTTGGCCGACAGAAGAGAAGTATATAAACTGTATGCAAACTGTCAACCCGGATTCACGAACATCACCACGTGGTTACAGTTAATATCGCCAGGTGATTCATATCACCACGTGTTAATTAACATCCTGCAGGATTTATGGGTTTGACATACAGTATTTTCATTCGTTACATGTCCAAGTTGGCAAAGTTAATCCGTCAACCCCCTTTTATCTTTAGGAGTGGGCAAAGAGGGGCATATTTTACCTTTTCCTAAAAAATAGCTGGATGTGTCAAAACATAATAAAACATATAGCTATTATAGCAGTTAGCAGGCTGCCACTGATCCCAACTTGTGGCAGATCGACGCGTAGCCATACAATATAGGTTTACCATGGTTCATCGAATATAACATCGACAAAAAGCAATTACCATAGTTACCAAAGCAGTAAAGCAGTCTAAAGCAATCTTGGGATAGTATGGGATAGTTATCATTAGTTATCCCATGTTATCCCTTCATCATTTCTAGTGACCTCGTGGCCATGAGTTTTCAGCTGAGCTCCGCCCGCCTCGTCTGCCGACTCCATAGGCACCACGCCGGTTTCACTGAGCCACACCGCATCCACTTCGCCTCAGAGTTCGTGGAAATCTGTTCAGGGTGCAGTTCTGAGTTGCGTTATAACCCCAAATTGCCATCCATCAATTGACTGTCGGACAGAAAATGGGTCAATGTTATATATATAGTATATACTATAAACAATCCATGTAAACCATAGTTGTGTAATGTTGTATGACTGATAAACCGCCATTTAGTTGAATACCTACTATAAACATGTACAATCTATAAACTATTGTCAACATCCATAAACCACAGAATTCACGAGTTAAACCGATGTGTTTTATTGGGACAACTTGTATGTTTGGGGGGTTCGAAAAGAGGATAACAAGAGGACAAACAAAACAGCAAACATAGCAACAGCTCCAACAACAATGCTTTTGTTAGACAACTCTTGGGCCGACTTGGGGGGGGCTGAAGCCAAGTACAATGGAAAAGTCAGGAGCTGGAATGGAAAGGAATCATGAAACTTGAGTTGTAGGGGCTTCACCCTCTCATTCATGCCAAGTCTCGTTCGGAGGGCTCTCGGTAGGTCAAACCCAGAAAATCAAAGATGTCCTGCGGCTAGTCCCATCACGACCGATCCCCTTTGCTGACAATTTGCGCTCCTCAGTGAGCCTCAAAAACAAAGTCTTACCGAATCTGTTGTGAAAAGGCAATCCATATATAAATATACCCAGCATTGATCCATGTTACATGACAGGCCTCAAATTGTGATGATTCTTCCGAAACTTATTTACCACCAACTTGCCACAGCCTCTTCACATCTCTTCACGCACCCTTCATTGCCTTTTAACATTGCCCTTGCAATGGTGATATCTTGTCTATAAACAAACCATTTTGAAGGCATGTTCACGTATATTGGCCGGGTTGAGCAAATTAATATGTATATATATATGCGTTCGCATCGGCTTTACAGAACGTATTTTTTACACCGTCTACATTGAGGCCTCGTTAGCAGCGGCCAATGGCCTATCCCTTTCAACGTCTTTTAATGTCATTGGGTCGTCAATTTATGCTGTGGATTCGCTGGTCATAGTCCAAATCCAAGTCTCTCTTTCACTACAGAACTTTCTAATTAAGTCAAGTCCCCGTTTGGTCATCGTTGTTTCAACGCCTGCCTTGCTCACCTTTTGCTGTTTGTCCATTCAGTTTTTTGGTTACCAAGATTTTGATGTTGAAATCCACAATATTGATGGTCGGTGTTTGATGACCATTTTTGCATGCTGAAATCCCAGCATTTCGTGATTCTCATTCTCATGTTAAACTCCCGTTTTTCATTCAACATCAGCCAGTCACCCCAACCTTTGTTCCATGTTCAAGGTGATGTAATCTTTACTTTCTATTCAAAATATTGTTTTCCCAAAGGCACAAACTATTCCCATGGTGGGGTAAGAAATGGTGGTTTCTTGAAATGCTGGATCCCCAAGTCACCATAGGTTTCAATACACAGTCATTGTCATCCATGACTTGGATGATTTCTGGGTACCCCTTGATTTAGGAAACCTCCATTAAACACCTACTTTAAGAAGTTTCCCAGCGTGTCCTTCTCCTCCAAAAAGTGCTGCTGCGCAATGGGCGGCCCGGTCCACAGCCGCTGCCCTCGCCCGACGCCTCGCGCATGCGAGGCCTCGCAAATGCCGTGGTCCGACAGACTGAAGCCGGCACGACGGGCGAAGAGGCGCATGGAACCTGGACCCAGGAAAGGAGAAGAATGGGAAAATGAAGAATGGGTTAACAATGGATTAATAACCCCAGGTGCTCCATGTATGGAATAGTATACATACATTTGGACCATTTTCGGGGGAAATGTAGGTAAATATTCCATACATGGAGCATCTGGGAATGGGATAGCAGTGTGTTAATTAATAATGGGTTAACAATGGGATTGAAATTTGGATAATAAGTGGATGTAAAACCATTGATTCACCAGGTGTACTGGAACAATTGCTTCATTTACCATCTATAGTCTATAATCTATAAACCATCTGATTATAACACCCTATACCCACAGTCTATAGTATTTCATTGATTTACGATATGGTGTCATCAAACATGCGGAGAGCTGGGAAATCCACGAAGTAGCAATGGGCCCATGGGCTGTTTTCCATCGCCATGCTTGACTGCCAGAGGCTAAAACATGTTAAAGATCAACACATAGACAAGTGAGAAGGAACAAACAATTCAATGCTTAAACCAAACACACTGGAAACACACACACACTCAACTACACATTTTGAACTGTAATATGGGCTTTTGTTTAGTCAAACAAATGGGTATGTGATCCTGATACAACCAACCCAAATCGAGGCTTTGGCCAGATTTGGCCAACCAAAACTGTTTTTTGTTTTATATAACCAGTGACAGCTATGATTGTTTTGGAGTGAGAACTCACGCTTCAGCAACTGTTGAAAATTGTCGGGTTAGTGTGCTAGTGCATAGTGTGCCTCTTTGGTTATATCGGCGTATTTTCGCACCGGAAAGCAGCAGAAACCATGTGAAACATAAATCAAGAAACATGAAGTAGTGCTGTGACACATAAACCTTTGGTATGTTCCAATCTCAACTAATTATACCATCGGTATGCTGCGTTCTCTGGTATCATATTACATACTGATAGCTGGGATGTAATAGCAGAACAAAAGCCTAAACCCTAGGCATTCATGAAACTAAACAGCGCCCAAGGGCGATTGAAGGGGCCCGAGCCAGTGAAGGAGAGGAGGGCGAAGGGGAACCTGGGATGTGCTGCCGTTGGGAACTCCGTGGCTGAAAATGGAATCATCCTATTTGATGGGTCAAATTCCTCAAGTCCTCCACAAGATTTGGATCATTGGGCAAATCTGGGCTTTAGAAAGTCGTGCTGTTTTTTGATCAACGCATGATTGCATATGGCTTCTACTGGTCCCAAGTTTGATGCATGGGTCACACACCTTCCATGCTGGAAAGTCTTGAAACAGAATGTCTTCATCAAATGTGATATTTGTCCAAGCATTTCAACATATTCAATTGCATCTGTAAATAAATATATATATATATATATATAGATATAGATACAGGAACCGACAGAATTATGGAAAAAAAAACGTTTCAATTTGCAGGCGCCGCCTGTCTATGATAGAAAAGTTACGAACCTTTTTTTGCCATAATTATTTTTTCCATAATTATTTTTTTTCCATAATTCTGTCGGTGACTGTATGTCCATCGATTCGCAATTTGAATGCATTTTAAGGGGGAATATTGAATTATAGAAAATATCTGTCTAAAGATCTGGTATATGCCCCTAAGTCTTCCATTGATATACAAAATATCATGTGATGTTCGCAATTTGAATGCATTTTAAGGGGGAATATTGAATTATAGAAAATATGTGTCTAAAGATCTGGTATATGCCCCTAAGTCTTCCATTGATATACATAATATCATGTGATGTTCGCAATTTGAATGCATTTTAAGGGTGAATATTGAATTATAGAAAATATGTGTCTAAAGATCTGGTATATGCCCCTAAAGCCTGCCATTGATATACATAATATCATGTGATGTTCGCAATTTGAATGCATTTTAAGGGGGAATATTGAATTATAGAAAATATGTGTCTAAAGATCTGGTATATGCCCCTAAAGCCTGCCATTGATATACATAATATCATGTGATGTTCGCAATTTGAATGCATTTGCACTTGCATACATATTTCCATAACCCCCAAAAAAAAGGGGTTTGAATTGTGGATCCATGACATGTCCAACAGGTGGAGCCCCAAACATTAATTATGGAAAAAATAATTATGGAAAAAATAATTATGGAAAAAAATAATTATGGAAAAACCGGTCAATCTGCCCTAGCCCCCTGATTTTACAGGAAAAATCAATTATGGAAATAATGGCCACCTCCAAGAATTATGGAAAAAAAAAGGTTCGGATCACTTCCGGGATATTTTGAACCCTTATGGGGAAAAACCTAATTATGGAAAACGTTTTTTTTCCCATAATTCTGTCGGTGACCATATATCAATATACAACCAATGTAATCCAAGGTAATCATAATATAAACAAATATTTATATTTAAACATGCTATATCATGCTACATATGTTATACGCATGGCAAAATAAAGCTATATAATGCTATATATATATAATATATCATTATATTATATTATAATAAGGGCATCTCAGCAACTGGCGATCCAAGACGCTCCACCCGCGGATGGACCTGGCGATGCCATATATGCAACTGGCCATCCGGTATTGCAAAACACGTGGCAGGCTGGAGGTGAAATCTAAGAACTAAATGAGGGTTTATAGCTGGGAAGTGATCTAGCAAAAGTCAATTCAACTCTGCAAGATGTTTGGGTCCACAAACGATCACAAACGATCATCACTTATCTTTCAACAACACGATTCAGCAAATGAAAATATGTCAAGACATGTCAAGAAAGTGATGCTCTTTCAGCTCGTCTATTGCCAGGTTAGGACGTGCTTGTGTCCCCCCTCATTTAGGCCATCTTTGATAGCTATATTAAGGTACAAGAGGGCCATGCAAACCAATTCGCAAACTTAGACACTCCAAGCACGCATAAAAAATGATAATTAAACCTATTTAAATAAACTCAAGTCATCCATACATTATTTACAGTGCTTACTGATCATGTTTAATGAAAATTCACTCCCCTTCCCGCCCTCCTGAATGGATACTTAGAGACTTGGAGGGTCTAGATCCATCAGCCAGAACACTCCAACCTTGATGTCGATGCGTCGATGGCACGAACGCACCTTGCAAACGCCGAAGTAACACGCCGAGGTGGAGGAACTCGGCGGGTCTCCGTCGTGGCTCTCACCGGTCCACCTGGCAACAGACACGATACACTTCTTGGGTCTGGAAGAAGTAACTCAAGTATACTCAAGTTAATTATGGCAGTAGATATCATATCAATCCGATCTTAGTTAAATGATCGATATTGATCAACAATTATATATGAACATAATTATACAAGAATCTGCCAACCATGTGTCGGTGCAGTATAGACTTTTTAAATATTCCACTTAAGCACTTAAACTTTGCACATCCCACCCGAAACGCCCGTCTCCGCCTGGTTCCCTTCAGGTCGTGCGTCAGAAATTCCTGCTGCGTCAGATCCGCCACAAGCCGCTGCAACACTTCCGCGGGGGGGCCGACGAGCTGCTCCTCAGTTTTTGCGGGGCGTGATGCAAATTTGAAGTCAACCAACAATACTTTGGATATGATGGGGATATAGTGGGCTGCATCACCAAAACCATCCAAAAAACATGATAATTATTTGGGTTTGTTCCTTTCCCCAAAATTGTCATTCCGATTGGGAAGATGATAAACCACCAGGTTTTACGATATCTTTTTTTCAGACAACCGCAAATGGTGGCAGGATCCAATGCTGTTGTCCTTTGTGTCTCTAAAATCTGCAGCGAGTTTCATCTGCAGCAGTCCGGGCACACAGGAGCAAATCAACATCCTGGCGCCATTTTTTTGAGAACCTGACGGGTGGATAACTGGTTGGTGGTTGAGCCCTACCCCTCTGAAAAAATATGAAAGTCAGTTGGGATGATTATTCCCAATATATGGAAAAATAAAAAATGTTCCAAACCACCAACCAGATAAGAATCCCAAACCTTTAACCAAAAATAGTGGGGTTTATGTTGTCGAGACTACATCCCTGACTGCAACAGGATAGTGATGCGATGATATGTTGATGTATGTTGCGCGTGAGGACTACCAGGACACATCTAAGCTACGCAGAAAGATTCATAAATTTAGTTGATTTCAAGGTGTTACTAAGCATCGCTTCATTAACACATTTACTGTGCCACTATTTGTACTGCCAAGCAAATGTTTGTATCGCTGCTTTGCAGTGGTTGTCCAAGAGTTCGCTTTAGCTAGAATCCGTTCGTGTCACAAGGGAAAGTCTGAACAGGTCAAGTTTCTAAGATACATGATCTCATAAATTCTCTCTGTACATCCGTGGGCTTAGGGTTGCTGGAGCCTGACAAAGGCTACAAAAAATGATCCACAGAGTACTGCACACTGATTCCACATTGAAACATGCCGGTAGCATCAGTGTTCCTGGATCAAACCGGCCTTTGCAGATTAAAGTCCTCATGAGGGCTGAATATATCAATATTCTTATGTGTTCAAACATGTATATAATCTGGCTAGAGCAATTCACCATGTGCTGCTGAAATGCCCACAATTGTTGGTTAATCTATTTTTTTCCTTGCATCACGATATATTGCTGTTTTCATCCCAATTCTGGATGTTCATGTCCCGTTTTTCTCAAGTGACACAGTGAGCCGCCCCAATTTGTTCACCAATTCTTGATGACCCCCTTCTGCTTTGATATTACTGTAATGTCCTACCATTCTTCGATCATGATTGATTCTGTCTTGCAAGAAGTTCATCCAATCCAGATGTTTAGCAATGTCCCAACAGTTTGAATCATTGAATTCACCAAAAAAATCCACCCGAAAAAGGCACCATAGTTTTGGATCATTGAATTCAGCAAAATTTTGCCCAAATTCCACGTGCTCTGCCGTTGTCTGACTGTCCGCTCCGCCAGGCTCCCCGGCTCCGCAGGTCTCTTTGCCGCGGCGATAGGAGCCACAGGCTTCCAGGCGCCTCAGTGGCCATTGGTTTCTCGTGGTGAATACTTCTGAATAATAATGGCTGGATTCTGTACTCAGCGCTTTCTCTTGAAAAAATTGCTATAAATGGGGGGAATATACCTTCTATCCTTTCCCTTCCGAAATCGCCACCGGGCTGCAAGCGGCTGCCGTAGCGTTTCAGCGCGCTGCCGCGCACCATGGCCACGATCTCGCTGACCTCGTCGCGCGGGATGCGCTGGGCGAAGTCGTGGAAGAACTCCAGGCCGATGAGCTGATCCTGGCACCAAAATGGAATATTAACTGGTATTGTAGGGGATCCTACATGGAATGACACAGTATGGCACATTTATTATAGGAAATCCAGTAAAATGAGGGGATTCCCCCTAGAACCGTTCAGTGCTCCAAATACCATCCGAGAACTTGTTTTGACCGTTTAGACCCTAAAAACCGAATATGATATTCTTTAGGATGATTTAGAGGGGAATTGAGTGAGGGAAATAATGGGGGTGATATGTATATACATAAATGAATACAAATAATATATATATATAATGAAATTCACGTAGCGGCATTGGATTTTCCAACTTAATTTTCTAAAGGAAATACACGGGATAGAATATAGGTAAAAACCCCAATGTTGGTGATTTGACCAGGCTACCCTCTGGTGACCGAACATGGCAATAAGAAAAAACACGTTAAATTCGATGATTTTCGCATGTACCCTGGGGTAGAAGAATATATATTTGGAAATTTTGTGGTTTCCCTGGAAAAATTATTTACAAATGGGTTGGTTTCAAGTTTAATGAAGGGTAAGTGCCAATGTTTGGAAGGATTTTCCAGCTACAGTAGCCATGTTTGAAGACAGCGGAGGGCAAATCCCCAAACAAAAACATATAAATCCAATATTTAAGACGAAACCAATATAAATTTGTATAAGTCCATGATATACTCTCCGGCACTAACATAGCTGTGGAGAAAGGCCCATTTAGAGATTTTATACTTCCTAAAAGTGGTGATGTTCCATAGCGTTGAATTATCAGTGGGAAAATCTCCTCAAAAATCTTCAAAAATCCACTGATGACTCCATAAATCCAATAACGACCCAATCGATGAAAAATGGAATCACCATGAAAAGTCCATGAAAAATCCCATAAATGCAACTTTCGGTTCATAAAAATACATCGAAAAATTCAATGAAAAATTGCCAAAAAACGGCCATTTTCCCCAGGATCGCCAAGGTGCCGAATTCAATTTCAGCTGCCCCTGGTCCACCTGGCGCTGCACCTCCACCACGGAGCAGCAACCCATGGCGTACCATCGCCTCGGCCCGTGGCCATGGGTGAACTATGGTTATTAATCACTTGCTAAGTGGGATGATCCTCCAAGTAGACATATCATAACACACACACACATGTATGTGTATGTAAGTATGTATGTATGTATGTATTGTATTGCATTGTATTGTATTGTACTGTACTGTATTGTATTGTATTGTATGTATTGTATGTATTGTATGTATTATATATATGTATGTATATATGTATGTATTGTATGTATGTATTGTATGTATGTATTGTATGTATGTATTGTATGTATGTGTTGTATGTATTGTATGTATGTATTGTATGTATGTATTGTATGTATTGTATGTATTGTATTGTATTGCATTGTATTGTATTGCATTGTATTGCAATGTAATGTAATGTAATGCAATGTAATGTATGTATGTAAATGTATGTATATGTATGTATGTATGTAAATGTATGTTTGTATGTATGCAAATGTATGTTTGTATGTATGTAAATGTATGTTTGTATGTTTGTATGTTTGTATGTATGTATGTATGTACGTATGTGTGTATGTATGTATGTATGTATGTATGTATGTAAATGTATGTTTGTATGTATGTAAATGTATGTATGTAGATGTATGTATGTAGATGTATGTATGTAAATGTATGTATGTATATGTATGTAAATGTATGCATATGTATGCATATGTATGTATATGTATGTATATGTGTGTACATGAATGTTTGTATGTATGTACGTATGTAAATGTATGTTTGTATGTATGTAAATGTATGTATGTATGTTTGTATGTGCATGTGTATGTGTATGTGTATGTGCATGTGTATGTATGTATATAGGTATGTGTGTGTGTATGTGTGTATATGTATGTATGTATGTAAATGTATGTTTGTATGTAAATGTATGCTTGTATGTATGCTTGTATGTATGCTTGTATGTATGCTTGTATGTATGCTTGTATATATGTAAATGTATGTAAATGTATGTTTGTATGTTTGTATGTGTATGTGTATGTGTATGTGTATGTGCATGTGCATGTGCATGTGCATGTGCATGTGTATGTGTATGTGTATGTGTATGTGTATGTATGTGTGTGTATGTATGTATGTATGTATATACATATATGTGTGTGATGCGCATGTAAATGTGAATAACACACATATCATTTTCATGTACATGTTTTTGTATATGCTATAAATATTCATGTGTATAGTCATATAATAATATAAATAATAATAACATATATACTGTGTATATATATATATGTATGCATAGTATTGCATATTATCATAAAGTAAATCAATATGCATATATATAAAATGTTACATATTGCATGATATGTAAGGTTCATGCCCTCCTTGTATTTCTTTCACAATGCGTCTGCAATAGTCTGTACTGACCTACGACAGCTTGAAGGGACTGTCTACTTTGGCAACCTGGTTTGCACAAAAAAGGAACAATGAAACCCTTGTGCGAACATGGGGATGTGAAGAACCGAAAGTTGTGGGGCTGTTTTGAGGGCAACACTTATTGATTTGTCTACCTGTATACATCCAATATCTAGATTCATCTCCAACCTTTGATGGTTTCAAGTTGAGTGTATAGTCAGTTGTTAAATCCCTTTTCTTGTTGGTGCTACATCTCACGTTGATTATCTATTTAAACATATCTAAAGCCACGGATAAATCCATAATTAATCATCATATATAACCAATCCATAATCAGTCCACAATCAATCCATAAAACATCCATAAAATATCCATATGTATCCATAGATCCACAAAACAACAGCAGTGAGTCATGGGGATCGCTCGACCTGGCCTGGCTGTGGTGAGGCCTACGCCCCAAATGCCCTGCAGTTCGTTCAAGGCTTTGGTGGCTTCATCATCCTGGGTGTTTTGATGAACATGTTGGCTTAGCCTCTGGACAAAAGCTGTGTGGATATAAAGCATACGGAAATAGAATGTAGATGAATTTAGATATACGCATTCATGTGTATATATATAAATATATATTTGTGTGAAGCCTTTTTCCCGAGAGCGCCTGCGAAGGGTTCTTCGTAAAAAAAGCAGCCGTTATACTAGATCTTCACACCTTCACACCTGCAGATCTAGATCTTCACACCTTCACACCTGCAGATCTAGATCTTCACACTCTCACATCTGCCGATCTACATCTTCACACCTTCACACCTGCAGATCTAGATCTTCACACCTTCACACCTGCAGATCTAGATCTTCACACCTTCACACCTGCAGATCTAGATCTTCACACCCTCACATCTGCAGATCTAGATCTTCACACCTTCACACCTGCAGATCTAGATATACTAGATCTTCACACCTTCACACCTGCAGATCTAGATCTTCACACCTTCACACCTGCAGATCTAGATCTTCACACCTTCACACCTGCAGATCTAGATCTTCACACCTTCACACCTGCAGATCTAGATCTTCACACCTTCACACCTGCAGATCTAGATCTTCACACCCTCACACCTGCAGATCTAGATCTTCACATCCTCACACCTGCAGATCTAGATCTTCACACCCTCACATCTGCAGATCTAGATCTTCACACCCTCACACCTGCAGATCTAGATCTTCACATCCTCACACCTGCAGATCTAGATCTTCACACCCTCACACCTGCAGATCTAGATCTTCACACCCTCACACCTGCAGATCTAGATCTTCGCACCCTCACACCTGCAGATCTAGATCTTCAGACCTTCACATCTGCAGATCTCCTCTCGCTCTTCTTCTATTCTCTCTTAAGGCGGGGGCGGTGCCGCCGGAGCGCCACGAAACGCAACCCTTTCGCACGAAATGTACGTTGGACGTCCAAAACCTAGGTAAAATTGCGATTTTGAAGCGTCGCCGGCAACCCTTTCGCACGAAATGGACGTTGGACGTCAAAAACTGATGAAAAATTGCGACTTTGAAGTGTCCCGCGCAACCCTTACGCACGAAATGGACGTTGGACGTCAAAAACTGAGGAAAAATTGCGACTTTGAGTTGTCAATCGCAACCCTTTCGCACGAAATGGACGTTGGACGCCAAAAACTGAGGTAAAATTGCGATTTTACTTTGTCCATCGCAACCCTTTCGCACGAAATGGACGTTGGACGTCAAAAACTGAGGAAAAATTGCGATTTTACTTTGTCCATCGCAACCCTTTCGCACGAAATGGACGTTGGGCGTCAAAAACTGAAGAAAAATTGCGACTTTGAGGTGTCCCGCGCAACCCTTACGCACGAAATGGACGTTGGACGTCAAAAACTGAGGAAAAATTGCGACTTTTACTTGGTCAATTGCAACCCTTTCGCACGAAATGGACTTGACGTCAAAAACGCGTTACTGTGTGTAAAAGCGTTTGTGTGTAAAAGCGTGTGTAAAGGAAAGCGTCTGTGTGTAAAAGCGTCTGTGTGTAAAAGCGTCTGTGTGTAAAAGCGTTTGTGTGTAAAAGTCTCTGTGTGTAAAAGCGTCTGTGTGTAAAAGCGTCTGTGTGTAAAAGTAAAAGGTCTGTGTGTAAAAGCGTCTGTGTGTAAAAGCGTCTGTGTGTAAAGCGTCTGTGTGTAAAAGCTTGTGTGTGTAAAAGCCTCTGTGTGTAAAAGCGTCTGTGTGTAAAAGCGTCTGTGTGTAAAAGCGTCTGTGTGTAAAGGAGTCTGTGTGTAAAAGCGTCTGTGTGTAAAAGCGTCTGTGTGTAAAAGCGTCTGTGTGTAAAAGCGCTGTGTGTAAAAGCTTCTGTGTGTAAAAGCCTCTGTCTGTGTGTAAAAGCTTCTGTGTGTAAAAGCGTTTGTGTGTAAAGCTGTGTGTAAAAGCGCCTGTGTGTAAAAGCTTCTGTGTGTAAAAGCGTCTGTGTGTAAAAGCGTCTGTGTGTAAAAGCGTCTGTGTGTAAAAGCGTTTGTGTAAAAGCGTCTGTGTGTAAAAGTCTCTCTGTGTGTAAAAGCGTCTGTGTGTAAAAGCGTCTGTGTGTAAAAGGGTCTGTGTGTAAAAGGGTCTGTGTGTAAAAGCGTTTGTGTGTAAAAGTGTCTGTGTGTAAAAGCTTCTGTGTGTAAAAGCACCTGCGTGTAAAAGCGCCTGTGTGTAAAATCGTCTGTGTGTAAAAGTGTCTGTGTGTAAAAGCGTCTGTGTGTAAAAGCGCCTGTGTGTAAAAGCTTCTGTGTGTAAAAGTGTCTGTGTGTAAAAGCTTCTGTGTATAAAAGCCTCTGTGTGTAAAAGCTTCTGTGTGTAAAAGCCTCTGTGTGTGAAAGTGTTGTGTGTAAAAGCGTCTGTGTGTAAAAGGGTCTGTGTGTAAAAGGGTCTGTGTGTAAACGCGTCTGTGAAAGTCTTTGCGTGTAAAAGCATCTGCCTGTAAAAGCGCCTGTGTATAAAAGCGTCTGCGTGTAAAAGTGTCTGTGTGTAAAAGCGTCTGTGTGTAAAAGCCTCTGTGTGTAAACGCGTCTGTGTGTGTGTAAAAGCGTCTGTGTGTAAAGGAGTCTGTGTGTAAAAGCTTCTTTGTGTAAAAGCGTCTGTGTGTAAAAGCCTCTGTGTAAAAGCCTCTGTGTGTGAAAGTGTTTGTGTGTAAAAGCTTCTGTGTGTGAAAGTGTGTGTGTGTCTAAAAACATCTGCGTGTAAAAGCGTCTGTGTGTAAAAGCCTATGCGTGTAAAAGTGTCTAGTGTCTGTGTGTAAAGGCGTCTGTGTGTAAAAGCCTATGTGTAAAAAAGTGTCTAGTGTCTGCGTGTAAAACCTTCTGTGTGTAAAAGCTTCTGTGTGTAAAAGCGTCTGTGTGTAAACGCTTCTGTGTGTAAAAGCGTCTGTGTGTAAATGCGTCTGTGTGTAACAGCTTCTGTGCAAAAGCGTCTGCGTGTGAAAAACAATACGAAGGATAGGATGCAAACTAGTGTTTTGTACTTGTAATATATTGTCTTGATACTACTTGTCTCGCCTGCCTAAAATACATCTTTAATATATTGTCTTGCAATATAGTGTCTCAATACTAACAACAGAAGACCCTGCTCTCTCTCTCTCTCTCTTTCTCTCTCTCTCTCTCCCTCTCCTCTCTCTCTCTCTCTCTCCCTTTCTCTCTATCTATGTCTCTCTGTGGTTGCAAGACACGTGTCATATGATGCCCTTTACCAAGCAGCACAGTGCATATGCATGGGTTGTCACATGTATCCTCTTCTTAATCAATCTTACTTTTCACAACTTACCCCTCCATAGCTCATATAAAATTCACCAACCTATCACCGACTATTTTTTACGACTACCATACTCAGAGCTGCTTGAAAAACGGCTTTTTCGCTCTCGGGCCAACCGTCGTCTAGTTTTCCTGGGAGAATGAATTATGAACATTAAGTATGACATGCAATTTTTGGCCGGGGCTTCTCAAAGGGTTTGCTCCAAAAGCAGGCCCGTCATGTTTGCTTGGAGCAAACGCTGCAAAACTGGCATGAAATACTATTGGGGAATGTCGGGGAATCAATCAATCCCATCGTCCGTTCATGTTGTTTACTCCCTTATAACATAGTGATCCGAAATATGTGATTTCATCATATTTCATCCACAACAATAAAAATCGCATATGGTTTCTTGGTTGTGTTAAATATGTGATCAATTACCCTCTGGTAACTACCAGTTCACTATTAAACATCACCATCTTTTTGCAAATCATCGAGCTAAATGTGCCATGGCTTCCATAGCGGCTATGTTAAATTTCCTGAAGGTATTCGTGGTTAATCTTGGCTAATGTTGCATGCCAATAATGATAAATGTTGGTTATATAATGCTGGCATCTTTACCAGGAAAGGCCAAGGCCAAGGCAGAAACACCTGGGGCAAATTCCCTGCAGTCCATGCCTGCAGCCCTTCAACTCGTCCGATTTGCCCTGGCACTGGTCTCAGATCCTATGAACAACGGCAATTCACCACATCAAACCGAAAATCAATTGCCAGCCAATTATATAATTCCTTGTGGTCTCACTTCCCTGTTCAATCTCCCGACCATGTCGTGCTGTTGTCATCCTTCACATGCTTTGAAGACCACTTGTACATGCTAAAAAGCCCAAAGAATCATGCCCACATCCCTCAACTTTTCCCAAGTCTTCCCCCAGGTTTTCCTCAGTTTTCCCCAGCTTTTCCGCAGGACTCAAGGGATGGATCGCCTGTCTCCAGGAACTCCAGCATCTTTTGCCGCGTCTTCTTCCCCAGGCGCTTCAGCTGCGGACGCTCCAGGTCTTCCACCTGGGCTCCAGGAGCCAAACGAGGAAACGGAGACTTTGAGTTGGATTATATGAATATTTGGTCATATTTATGCGTGTATATGTGTAATTAAATGTCTATGTATATATATATATATATATATATATGTACGTGTGTGTATATATATGTATATATACATGTGTGTGTATTATATGTCAAACCCACACAAACATTGGGAACAAAACATGTTCTATCTATTTTTGGAGTTGCTATTACCATCTACCACCATTCACATTCGGAAATAGCAGCCCATCGTGGATGAAATCCCAGAAACTGGCGTTGAATGGTGTGGACACTGCTGGTACTGGGCAATGCAAAAACTCTCAATACCATCGGCGCAATATGTAGTTTACGCTATGTGCTAACAATAAATAATATAGTAATGTTACTATAATGTACTATAGTGTCAGATTCTGGAAGCATTGTGTCGATCAAACATGCATGATGGGCATCAAAAGGCGGGTGACATGTAAATCCAGCACGAAGAAGTGTCGTCTCAGAAAGCCCTCAAGATCCCTCAAGAATCAAATGCAGCCAGCAGTGATGCAACGTTCTCTGGTTCAAATTCAGCATCGTTTCCATTTTGCACAGTACCCCGCGGTACATAAATGTGTCCTATCGATTCATGTCATGGCATCACATCCAGATCATATTGAATACCGCAAGTAGGGGACCCAAATTCATGAAATGATCCAGTACTAAACCTTAATTTTGTTCAGGTGAACAATGTTTGTACCTAGGGATAGATTTCATTACGCCCGTTTCCCTTGGAAGGGTTGCACGGCTTCGAGCTAAAAATGTACGAGTCATTTACATATACATAATACATGTAAACACACATGTACGTATTCACATACACAGATACATAAATGACATATGATACACACACACATATATATATATATATTATATTAATACATATTATTAAATACATCAACTACACTTATAGCTAGCTGAGACATGACCAAACTAGTAAACACCTCGTGCTCAAGGACACTCCCCCACCCCAGGGGCCTTCGACCAAGTAACACTCGTCACCTCAAATGGCAAACTTCGAATAAGGCCTCACTGCTGATGAAGATTGATGGATGATCCTGATGCCCTAAGGCACTCAATCACCAACCATTCGCCCCAAAAAACCTCGATTTGCCATCCGCCACGTAGTCGCATTGACACCGAAAAAGTATGCCAAATCTGCATTGTGTTGGGCAAAACGCGGAGAACATGGAAATGCAACAGATGTCTCCAATGACTAGTCATATCATATCTAGCTGCCCGGCTGCCCCCGAAGACTCTTCTTACCTCACACATTGTAAGCCACATGTAGGCTTATGATTTCAAACCACCTCCAAATGCATCATGAGAAGGATCAGGAAGGAACACGTATTCCAAAACACAGCGGCCACTCTCTCAAACAATGAGGCATTCAATGAGGTATATACAGAGTATAGACATGTCATAGACGCTACCCATCCCTACCCCACATTTCTGTCACATTTCCGACCTTGGAATTTCACCACGGTACCGGCGGTGGTTCGATAGGAGCGCTCCTTCCAACCATCGCCCAAGGACTCGTAGTGCTTCCTGGTAATCGCAATGGAACGTGGTCCATTCAGTTCGATGATTTATCTATTCACACTGGGCATGTTCCATTGCTGTTACAAGGGGGTACACAACATCGCGAGTACCAAAACAATCTTTTTTGGTCACTGAACATGGACATCCGAATCATCACGGGTGGGGAAGCAGCCTGGAGCAGCTTAAGCACTATCACAGCCGTCTTGTTCAAATAGATATTGCAATCTGTGCAAGTGTGCGAATGCATCAGCGCAAAAACAAACACATCAGCACATACATATGCACACGCACATTATTTATATATATATATATACATATATGATGATTGAAAAACGCACAATGCTCAATAAACCATATATATCCATATATCACAATTAACACAATACATGCTTCATGAACATGAAAGCACATTATGTTCCACTCTCTGCTACATCTCTGACCAGCACCCGTGCGCCAAAAATCTGCAGTCGACTGAACAGCTCTGCCAGGGCTGCATTTTGTGGTGCTGGCGCGGTGGAAGACGATGCCGTACGCCTTGGGAGTTCCATGAGGGAAGCCATCCCAAACATATCAACACCCATCGGATCCCTTCGGTGTAATCAAACATGGAAACGGGAAATCCCCTACTTCATCTAATCTATTAAATGAAGACTTGAATATAGGAAAAGCATCTCTAATAATTATATGTGTCGTAGGTCCGAGCGAAAGAGTGCTCCAACTGCCATAGAACCGAATGAAATATGAGTGAAATAAACCAACTTACAGTACCTAACTCTTCCTGTGGAATCCCATTATAATCCCATTCTAATTTCATTCTAATCCCATGATATAGCACCAACAAACAACTGATAAACATCAATCAACCACCATTAATCCCATTACTGTACAATCCCACTAAATGAGCGTGTTGCCCGTTGTATTCCTTCCCATTGCCATTAAATCAGCATTTTTTCCCATTCTAATCCACCATGAAACCACCCTTTTTCCATATTTTGCCCATGCGACTGGTGGTTGAAACTCTTCCAATCCCAGTGACTGACATGCGAACTTCTCCTTCCGCTGCAGCAGCGCCTGTCGCTTGGGTGTCAGCTGCCCGTTGAAGGTTGCCATCGTGGGGCGGAGCTCTTCAACCTGGCGCCGGAAAACATTGCTTTTTTCCACCATGAAAGCTTTCAAAACATCGAAATTTCCTATCCCTTTAATATCCAACTGCATACACGAAGGGGCGAAATGTGAAAGCCGGAAAATCTGGGTGATGGTATCCCCAGAAAATCCTTGAAATCTGGGTCCAGTACATGCAGTTTGTAAAACATTGAAAATCTGCCTCACTGCTGCTTTCTGCTGGTTCCTCTGGCATCTTCGAAGCGTGTGGCACCACCTGCACAGTGACAAGTTCGTTGGGAGGGGTAGGACGGAGATGTTTTGAATGGGGCATAGGGGTCTTCCAAAAAAATAGTGTTGTCATGAACCAGATACAAGCTTTAGTGGTTCTCTATATCTATCGTTTATGATGATGATTGGCCAACTGCTTTTGCATGCATTGATGGATGCGGATCATTTTTGCCTGTTTTGACCGTTGGATGGACAATAGTAAAGCGCGTGCAATAGCCACAGATAATTTTCAGAATCTGATTTTTCAGCCCCTATTAGATTTTAAATTAGGCCTTATTGATTTTAAATTACAAACATCAACCTTGGCCCAGAGCATCTGCAATAAATGTGGTTCATTCGCAATAGCAACAAATAATTTTCAGAAAATTCCCAAATTTTCAGACTTTACGATACTAAATTGTAAAGGAGCTAATTGAGATTTAGTATGGATGCAGGAAAAAAATCAGAACCAGTTACAGTTCAGCTGTATTTTATCCCTTTGTCCTTAGTGTTTTAAATTGTGGTTGAATGGTTTTAAATTGTGATTGCATGCTTTTCAAAAGCAAAAAACACAGCAATCCTTTACCAAATCAAAAACTTTACCTTGTTCAAAAAAGTTGTTTTCTTTATTAAAATCCTTTTAAAAAATTGCAAAAAACAGGTCCACAAAGGGTACCCCCCTTGCAGGTCCTTGCATTTGCAATTAAAAACTGGAATTAGCACTTGCAATAAGAGACAACCTTCCTGGCTCTAGCAGGCATTTTTTCCCTTCTTCCTTTGTGTTTTTAATTGTGGTTGAATGGTTTTAAATTGTGATTGCATGCTTTTCAAAAGCAAAAAACACAGCAATCCTTTACCAAATCAAAAACTTTACCTTGTTCAAAAAAGCTGTTTTCTTTATTAAAATACTTTTTAAAAAAATGCAAAAAACAGGTCCACAAAGGGTACCCCCTTGCAGGTCCTTGCATTTGCAATTAAAAACTAGAATTAGCACTTGCAATAAGAAACAACCTTCCTGGCTCTAGCAGGTTTTTTCCCTTCTTCCTTAGTGTTTTTAATTGTGGTTGAATGGTTTTTGATTGTGATTGCATGTTTTTCAAAAGCAAAAACACAGCAATCCTTTACCAAATCAAAAACTTTACCTTGTTCAAAAAAGCTGTTTTTTTTATTAAAATACTTTTTAAAAAAATGCAAAAACAGGTCCACAAAGGGGTACCCCCTTGCAGGTCCTTGCATTTGCAATTAAAAACTGGAATTAGCACTTGCAATAAGAAACAACCTTCCTGGCTCTAGCAGGCATTTTTTTTCCCTTCTTCCTATCAGAATCCAATGAAGATCCCATCAGAGCCCATCAGAAAGGAGAGGATTTGTCAAAACCTTACAGAAGCCTTTGGGGAAGAGTTGGGATTTTCGATTTACTATTGCAAAGCAGACCCCCCTCCCCTTTAAAAACAATAAAAAAAATAGGGGGGGCCCCCCTTTACTATTGTCGATGTAACATTAGTATACATACATTCATATATATATATATATACATACCCATATCTATACACACAATACATACGCACACTTCACTCGCAGTGACCCTGGAGTCACCGAACAAGCACATAACAAGCACGCGGCAAGAAAAGAATCTTCATGATCATGATCGAGAATTTGGGGACCAGAGTCCAGAAAGCCAAACTCTGAGACTTTCGCAAGCAACATGTGTCAGATGTTGCAAGCGCCAGTATCTGCATTTTCTTAGCCATCAATTCCACTTACTCCATGCACCTTTGGCGATGGCGATGTTGGTGATTCTGCCGGGCTAGCCAGCTTGGAGATGTCACGCTTTCGCGATCCCTCAACAAGCAATAAGAGATGGGATAGGGAGTTGGTCAACGGGTAGGTTTAAATATGTTTAAATGCATTTTGTATAATCAGATTGCACCATGCACTATACACATCTATACACTAGTTACATCTAGTTACAAGGATAACAAAACACATTTACGAAGCAGTGAACTAACTCCACAGCCCATCAAAGTGGACTTGTAAGGGAAGCTATGCAGTAGAGTGCTATGCAACGATGTGATACGATGTGTTTGTGATATCTTGGAATGACCCATTCGAATGGCAGCCTTCATCGAATCAACAAAATATAGTTTTTGATGCACCTTTGGTGATGGCGATGCCGGTGAATCCGTGCGGCTGGGCCAAGGAAACTGAGCCTGGCAGCGCCCCATTTGCTTCTGGTAATTTAACAATATTTAATAATGGCATTAGCTGTGGACCAATGATGCATTAGCCTATTTATAGAAGATTTACCTATTAAAAAAAAACAATGTGATTTTACACAGCTTTGCTAAATTACCAGATGGTGTAGTTGGTTTTTACATCACCTTCAGATACCTTCAGGACCCCGAAGCATCCACCGAAACTGATGTATTTGAGTTTAGATTTGCAGTACACCTGACAGAACCAGAGAACCAGGCAA